CTAAAGTTAAAGAACAAAGTTTTAAGTTACATTCATTAGTTTTATATCAACGCTCATCTTTCTTTCGTCAAGAATTAACAAACACAATTAAAAAGAATAATATTATTGAAATTACATTATCTGATATTTCTGTTGAAGCTTTTAAAATTTTAATTAAGTAAGGCAATTTATTAATTAATTACAATTAGTGATGGGACCTGTTGAGTCATTAGTACTAATAATTTGTTAATAGTTAATAATAATAATTTTGGCGTATTGTAAAATTATACGTTAGAATTGTCGCATCCTTTTTATCATATTATTTATCACCTGATATAATAAATAATATGGGCTAGGTGCTGGAAAAAGGACCGAAAATGACAAAAAAAAGTTCTTTAGAAAATCAATTTTATATAATAAATCATAAGAAAATACAAACTTTAAAGAGCTATACTGCAAAATTTTATTAATACAAGTATTTTTGCATCTTAAGTAAAAAATGATTCTAATTTAATTCTAAATCGATTTGTGTAAAAAAAAAAAAAAAAAAAAAAAAAAAAAAAAAAAAAAAAACTTATTTGAAAAAATTGTCATTTTCGACCCTTTTTCCAGCACCTAGCCCATATATAAAAGAAATGCGACAATTATTAATTATTTAAACGCCAATTTAAGAATATTAATGGCTGCAAATTTATGTAATTATTATATCATAAAGCTAATCGCAAAGCATATTTTCTATATCGATATGTACAATTTTTCATTTGGCTGTGCCATACATTATTAATAAGTAATAACTCAGCAAATTAATTATTAATAATTCAGGAGGTCCCATCACTAATTACAGTTAATATAATATAATAATCTAAAGTTATTTTATTTAGGTTTATTTATACTGGAACAATTCAATTTGAAAAGATCAAACAATCAACTATATTTGATCTTTTAGTTCCTTCCAATAAATTAGACCTTAGAGAGTTAGTTGAATATATTCAGTCTTATCTTATTGATAATAAGGCATCTTGGCTTCGATTAAAATTTACTCAAGTTTATATTACAAGTTTTCAAGCTGATAATTTTAAGAAATTACAAGCTTTTTGCACTGATATTCTAGCGAAACATCCTAACCTGATTTTTGATTCTGATGAATTTACTTCTATTCAAGAAAATGCACTAATAGCCCTTTTAAAACGAGACGATTTGCAATTAGAAGAATCTGAAATTTGGGATAAGGTTATTCAATGGGGGAAAGCACAAACTTCAGACCTGCCATCTGAACTTGAAAAATGGAGTAATGAGAATTTCTTAATCTTAAAGACTATCCTTAAAAATTGTATTCCTTTAATTCGTTATTTTCAAATGCCTGGAAAAGATCTTGTAATGAAAGTTAAACCTTATCGACAAATTCTTGGATCAAGCTTATGGGAAGATATTACTACGAAGATTATGGCTCCAGATGTATTCATCTCTTCAAATATTTTACCTGCTCGTAAAAAAATTCATGCTCAACTTCATGTTCGTAAAAATAATAATAACCAACTTTTAGTTCACAACATTAATAATCCATCATCTATTATTAATAATTTATCTATTATTAATAATCCATCAACTATTATTAATAATCCATCATCTATTATTAATATTGAACATTTTGAAGAAATTTCAACTTGGATTAATCTTCAACCTGGATTAATAGAAATGTCTTATAAATATAAATTTAAGTTACTTCTCAGAGGAAGTAGAGATGGATTTACTGCGGAATCATTTCATAGATTATGTGATAACATACCTGGCACTGTATCCGTTATAAAATTTAAGGACACAAATGAAATACTTGGCGGATACAATCCGTTAGTATGGTCATCTGACAGTGAATTAAAATGGTTTGCGACAACCGATAGTTTTATTTTTTCCTTGAAAACACCAAATTTATCAAACTCTATTCTCAGCAGAATTATCCATAAAAGTCAAGTAATTGGATGTTCTTACATTCATGGTCCGATTTTTGGAAGATATTTCTATATGTTTAACGATAATAATAAGGATAATAGTAATAGAGGTTATTATAGTCATAACAGTCATTATTATGAAAAACAGCTTAGTGTAGCAAATAATAGTATTTTAATTGACGAATTTGAAGTATTTCAAGTCATAAGAAACTAATTTAAAATCTTAAACTTGTATTTATATATGTAATGTACTTAAATTTATTTTAAATAATTACAATACCTTATATTGTGACTTATTATTATTTCACAGATACCTTAGTTCATAAATTATCAATTTATACTAACGAGTTTATTACAGACAACCAGTTCATTAAATTGTTCATTTCGTATAGTCTGTTTATTTTCTCAGACAAGTTTGTTCCAAAATTTCTATATAAACTTTATCATCGTCCAATTCTAAATTAAGTCGTCCGTGAGGTGATTATCTACGAGTGAGCAGTACTGCATAAATACAATAAGTCAAATGGCCAAAGCTTTTTTTTATTATTATTATTATCCGAATAAGCTTTTTTTTCGGATTTTTCTCATACATTTTAATTATGTTGTTTTCAATTAAATATGATTGTAAAAAATAGTTGCTTCCCTACAAATTTTTTTAATTATCATTTAAATCACGCAACTTTATGCGAAGTTGTATCTTTATAACTTATATTAACTAGTTTGTAACAAAATCATAACATTGGGGTTTCAAAATTAGTGATTCGGCGGATGAAATAATATTTATTTCAAAATAAATGACTTGCAAAGTATATTTAAGTGTTTGCTGGTTTGTATGATTACTTTTTTATCAACGATTTTATCATAAAATAAAAAATTTACTGATTTCATAATTTCGAAACTTTTATTTTATTTTTGATTATGAAATTTAAAATTACAATTAAGATTTTTTAAACTCACATTTATTTTTGAAATAAGTTAATTTTGAAAGACCCTATTATGTTTATGCTTATGAATATATTAGCGCTAGATGTAAATTATAAATGAATTTATCACGCGAACAAAAATTACAGGATACAAAACCAGGAACGATCAAATGGTTCATGAGTTACATTTAATTTATGTGTAAAGATTGACAAGTTCTTTTTTTTTTATCAAATATTCACCGAACATCGATATATATAAAATTAAATAAATCAAAATTCTGTAAATGACTTAAGTTGAAAATGGAATCTTATGCGGTGACGGAATTTTATGCAAATAAAACAATAGTATCATATTTTATTTTTATTCATACTCGGTCATTTATTTTCATATTTTTAGACTAGGATAGTGTTCTAAATTAAATTTAGTGGTTAATATATTCTATTTTTGTTATAATATGAAATGGCAAAAAAAAAAATTTAGCGATCAACGAAGTTAAGAATTTTTCACAGTGTGATCAATCATTATAAGAATATCTATTTATATAAAAAGTTTTCCTGATCTAGTCAATATTTATTACAAATCTTTTAATAGACGTAAACCTTTATTTCATGATCTTATTATTGCAGTTAGTGATGTGCCGTTTATATGGCTCAAAGATTTTTATTAACGTATTTGTCATTCTCTGAAATGATTAATTCCCACCTAAAAAGTTAAGTTAATTCGTAATCAATTTAAGTTATTATTAATTCACTTACAACATATTTTAATATTTTAATTTAGGAAAATTATATTCATAACACCATGTTATATAACACCATACTATTAAATATATAATATAATAAAAACGGGTGGCACTTATTTCACCGACACTCATTTCACCGAAAGTTCATTTAGCCGACATCACATGGGGTTAGGGTTAGGGTTTTATTAGTTTCAGGTATATATTTTTAGTAAATTGTCACTTGGTGTGATGTCAGTGTCGATGAAATGATTGTCGGTGAAATGATACGGATCCAATAAAAATCTATACCCTTACCCTAATCTAGTTTACATAATTATTATATATAAGGTGTTATATAACATAGGTGTTATGAATATAATATTTCTTTAATTTATTAATAAAATAAAATATACATTCCAAAAAAAAATATGATATAAAATTGTCAATTGCTTTGCAATCAAATTTTTTTTAAAAAAAATTTAATTTCTTAAAAATTTAACTGATTAAAAATTTAACTAATTAAAAATTTATGATTTAACCTAAATATCAATAAATTTTCTTCATTTGATCAAACTTTAACTTTAAACATCCGGAAAAATCCCAATATTCTCATATTCTAAACAAGTTAAAAATTCCATATCTAACTCTCTAATCTCACAATTAGGATTAATTGCAATTGCATTCATGGTTGTTTGAACATTAGTTTTGCCTTGAATAGATTTGCTTTCTGCTTCATCAGAGCTTTCATTAGGTATATGTTGCTTAATGAAATCGCCAGCTCTTTTTAGTGAGAACTGAGAAATTTTTTCATCTATAACAAACTTAATAATAAAAATTTTAATATTATTTAAAAAAAAAAAATTGTTAAATTCATTTAGAAAAAATTGTTAAAAAGTTTTTCTCTAAAATTAAATATATACTCACAGCTTGAAAGCAATGAAACGCTTCATCATAAACTTCAAGAGTGACTTCTGTGGGATTTTTGAATGATGAATTGGCAAAATTCGTTGTAGTATATTTGGGTAATTGGTATTTATTCGGATCAGAAGCTCTAAAACTAAATAAAATATTAGAATCCAAAAACCTTTCCCCACCACCTACTTGCTATTTTGTCAGCATAAATAAATATATAAAAGTGTTATTACAATATTTATAGATTAATTAAATAAAAAATAAAGGTTTTATAATTTAATTATCTTACACATAAAATGGGTGGTAAATTTCCCAAACTTTCTGCTAACATTGGACTAATATAAGGAATGGCTAAAGCTTCATTCGCACAATAAAAATGGTATCTAGGAATCTTAGTAAAAGATGGGTGACCCACTACATTTGGCTTTTTTTTTTTAATTTTTTCCGCAAGAATTTTTACATGATCAAGAAATTCAATTGACATAGGACATGGTGGTCCAATATTAGTACACGTACGATAAGCACTAGACGTTAACTTAGGAACAAAATCTGTTTTATCCATTTCGGGTTTCCATAATGATGCCATGCTATTTGTTAAATCTACCCATGGTGACTTTTATAAAATTATTATTAAAAAGAATTATTAAATGTTATTAATTTTGATGTGAATGAATCAAACATGAAAAGCTTTATATAAAATATTAATAAGATAAATATACCCATAAAACAAGGCTAGATGGTAATGGTAAACCAATATCGCGCATAAACAACGCTGTACCAACAGCCAATCCACCACCAGCACTAGTACCGGCAAATACTATTTGTTTAGGATCAAACGGTTTGAATCCAGCTTCCGGTCCAGGATTGATAAGATAAAAATACGCTGCTAAAGCATCACAAAGTGGTGCAGGAAATTGATATTGTGGAGCAAGACGATAGTCGATTGCTAATGGTAATTATTAATTAAATAAAAATAAAAAGGTTAAATATATGATAATCAAAATTGAATAAATTTTATTAGAATAATTTAAGATAGTTTACCGAAAACCGAACATTCAGCAATTTCAGAGAGCTTAAAAGTAATAGGTCTGGAAACCTTACTGGATCCCATAAAGTATCCTCCTCCAAACATGTAAAGAATTACCCTTCCTGTGTCCTTCTGATCGTTAATTTTAATCCATTCTCCACATAATTCATTATCAAAATATTTCCATTTTTCATCTACAACGTCCTCATATTTTTTCAATCCATTCTCCAAATATTCTTTACTTTTAATTCTATACTTTTCATCTATTTTAACTTCGTTCACAGTTATATTATCTGGAATTGGTATGTCGATAGTTCTCGGCTTCTTTAATTCTTCAATAGTTTTATCAGAACTGTTTTCAATATCATAACGAATTAATTCTAAAAATTCATAATATTTCGGTGAAAATGAGGATTGAGACATTTTGGAATATTTGCTGAGCAATTAAAAAATTAATCCTTTTTATTTACAAAAATTATTGAATTCGGATTTAAAAATCCTTTTTATTTACGAAAATTATTGAATTCGGATTTAAAAATCCCGTTAATTATCCTGTTTTATATGTTAATACAATCTGAGAATATATCAAATTTGGGGTTGGCTAAAGCGGAGCAGTTTTTAAAAAGACTATTTCGATTTGTACATTATCATTATGTGTACAGTATATACACATAGTAAACATAGTAAACAAAGTATAAGAAAAGCCAATCGAACATTAGGATCAGGTATAACATGTGGTGTAACGAAAACAAAAAAAAATCAAAATTTCAAAAATTCGCCTTTGAAACCACCTTTGCAGCTCTATTAAAAAAATTCCTTACTAAATTTTGCATAGATACATAACACTTTGCTAAAATCTCAGGCCTCGCCTAACCCTAAAGTTAAAAAAAATCGTTTTTTTTTTTTTTTTTTTTAATAATATCAGATATATTTGTTTTTTTTTTTTAAGAAATTTTCTTTTAAAAAATTATCTAATTTAAGAAGTGCATATAGGTAAAATTTCCTCCCCGATATTTTTTATTAATGCCCTGAGTGAGTTTAGACTACTGTTTTCTGTATTTTTCGCGTTTTTCTATCCGGGTTAAGTCAAAATGATTAGATTAAAAAAACTGCTCCGCTTTTAACCAACTTCCATAAATGGATCGATCACACCTTTTATGGAAATAGATCATCAACTGATTGAATTTGGAAATTTCTAAAGCATAATCCAAGAATGATCGTCGTTAGGTAAAGAAGCTTTTTTACCTCCGCTTCGTTTTTAAGTTTATTTTTAAGAAATTAAGAATATAGTCAGACCTAGGGATGGGCAAATTGAGCATTTTTTGAATCTACTGCGCAGCCTGCAGCATTATCCCTGCGAATTATTCCAGTTGACCAGAATTATGCCAGCTGGCCAGAATTATACCAGCTAACCTGAATTTTAAAAATCGCACGCGCAGCCTCTCAAAAATTCTGCGCAGTGAAATAATGCGCAGGCTGCGCAGTGGTTCATCCCTAGTCAGACCTCTCTAAATTTAATGTGACGGGACCATATGTAAGAAATGAGTAAAACATGCATTTAGAGGGGTATTGCATTTAGGGAGGTAAAAATCTATATTATATTAGTTGGCCCAAGAGAAGACATGTATTTAGAGAGGTTATTCATAGACGTGCATTTAGGGGGGTTGCATTTAGAGGTCTGATTACATAAAAAAAAAAAAGTGTGACGACTAGAGTTAAGGTTTTACTATAAAAAAATTCGGATATAATAAATCCAGATATATAAAAATCCGGATTTTACTATGTTATATCATATATCCGGATATATAAATCCGGATTGAAGTATTAACTCTAGTGACGACCAATCAAATGCGCGAACCTGTTTGTAGATCCTTCTAGAACCCGATTTCCAAATTTGGAAAAGCGGAGCAGTTTTTTTAATTATCGATGACTTAACCCGGATCGAAAAACGCGAAAAATACAGGAAACGATAGTCTAAACTCACCCCAGGGCATTAATAAAAAATATCGGGGAAGAAATTTTACTTATATGCACTTCTAATTAAGTAAACGTTAAATTAGATAATTTTTTTAAAACTGCTCTGCTTTAGCCAACCCCCATTTATGGTATATTTCCGGACTGTAATAAAATTATTTAGACATAATAAATAACAGGATTATTTTATAAAATCAAATCATGCTTGTAATACAGGTATAGCAAGGCCAGAATATTACGTACGTACAAGTGGAACCTTATTTTCCGATAATTTTTCAAATCATGAATCTAATTAGGCTGTACATTGTCAGAATATTTTTTCACACTAAATCATTAACGGACTTATTGCGTAACAATAATTTTAAAGATTTTAGAGCATGTTATCAAAAATTTTAAATCTTATCACATTCTTTCAATATGTATAACATCTACATACATTATATATAAAGAATTTGAACTATTTTACTATCAGAAATTTCTCACGACAATGTAAAACTCTGGTCTATAACGATAAGTATTCTGTATTAAAGTTAACAGACTCACATATCAGGGGGGAGAATTGTGATTCTGATTTCATTATAATCGTTATAAACGGAATCGATTATAAGGTACTGTTACTATTGTAAATTGGGAGAGCGATTATTGAAGTCCGGTTCAGCTCCAATAGTTAACGTGGTATGGGTTATAATGCCTGGTTACTAGTAAAAGCGATGGGATTCTATAAACTATATATATAGGTCGTGTATTATATAAAAGTCGGGTTGGTGATTTAAGGGATGATCGGGATGATTTGATAACTAATACTGTTGGAGTTTTAGTTTGTGTAAAGGCTGTGTGAGGCTCAAGTGATAGCATGAAGCCTCTAACAGGTCAAGCCTCTTAAGAT